GTAGGATCGAAACCCTTCGTCAAACATTTCCGCCTTTTCAGCAATAGGGACGTTATAATGTGAAAGTTAATCCTGCTCTCCGTTGGTAAAGAGTTGGCGGTGAGTAGCTGCCCCCCATTCTGTCTACCACTTCAAAATTAGGAACGACTAGCGCAGATAGTCCACGAGTAGTTTTCTTGAAACGACTAGTGCAGATAGTCCACGAGTAGTTTTCTTGAAACGACTAGCGCAGATAGTCCACGAGTAGTTTTGTTGAAATGACTAGCGCAGATGGTCCACGAGTAGTTTTCTTGAAACGACTTGCACAGATAGTCCACGAGTAGTTTTTCACGAGAATTCAACAAACAATCCTCTTTCATCAACATGTTCTTGTTTGTTAAGAAAATATAATTGTGTGTTATCCCGTTATTTTTGAACAAGTAAATATAAAAAATGCTATAGTTGTTATTTTTATATAGCGTTTTAAATGTTTTTTTTATATTATATATAGTAAACCTTTCCAATTTGCCCCTGTTATTTTAGTCTCATTTTTTAATAAAAAATAAATAAAAAACACTAGTCTCATGTTGCTTGGATTTTGTTTTTAGAAGTTATTTTGAAGCCAGAAAAAAAAAGATAACTAAAATCTTCAAATTTGAACACCTATATTTTTTTTTCGAATTAAAATTATATAAATCTGGCGCGGAGTGTCTCATTTACATTCATATTACCTCTCGTGAAAAATATTCTCAAATTGAAATTTTATCTCGATATAAAACAACAACTGTCTGTTGAGTGCTTAACATTATTGACGTCTGTTTTAAGAAAAATGTAAATATTCAAAAATGCAAAAGAAAAAAATCGATAATTGATGAAAATACGATAACACTTACCTTAATTCTATAAAGTAAAGATTAGAGGCAGGCCATGGGAGGATCCGTCTCTGGACATCTCTGATTTGATTGTAGGAAAGATCCAAAAACTCTAAACCAGTCAGCTTTGAGAAGGCTTGATTGCCAACTGACTCAATACCATTATCATAAAGAGAGAGATCCTTCATATTTTCTAGACCTTCAAGAAACCAGTGAGGTCCTACATGCGAAACTGTGCATCCTGACATTGAGAAATACTCAAGCTTGTGCATATTTGCGAAAGTAACATTTACCACCCGACCGACTGCAAAGATAAAAATGTCCACTATAGAACCCTGCTGACCTTGGAATGCAGGGATTTCCACCGATCCTATCTTTGACACGTTGGTTCTCTCCAGTCGCAAGGCCGAAAGTATAATTCCTCTAAAAATATCACCCGGAATGGGGCTTAGCAATGAAGAGTTAGAAACAATCAGTTTTTCTACAGCTTGACCCTTGGAGATCGTAGATATCCACCCTAGTTGTGTGATATTTTTTAATTTATTACAGCGAATTACTGGGTAACCTGTCGACCCAGGCTCACACGTGCATGGAAATGTCTCTTCTGGAGGCGGGCAGGGATTAGCCCCTAACTTGGTAACAGTGAATCCCAGTATGGCAAACAAAAACAGACTCAAAGATAGACCTTTCATTCTTCTGTATCAAGAAAGTGAGAAACATTAATAAACAACAAAGTACGCATAGAGCACAAATCAAGTAATCATTTTTAAGGCTTACTCTGCGTATTGCCAAGCGATAAATCAAATCTACACCAGTCACTAAGGCAAAGTACATTACAGACGGTGGGTAAAAATTACAAAGTATTGTTTGATTATCAATAAGCTTATTTTTACTGTAATTTCAAATGTCGTGCATGAAAATATATTAATCTGATTTAATTGGAACATTTTAATTTGATGTGGGGAAAAAATAGAAATCTCAAAACTAAGTGCACGCTTAGAAAAATATTAAATTTTTTAGAGAAATAAAAAATTATCAATGAAGCAATGATCTGATTATCAAAAATTTCTGTTCAACAATTTACCTAATATAATTTACTATTTAGAACTTTGCTGCCAGATGGCAAAATGAACTAGTTGTACTCTTTTAGGGTTAAACCAGGTGGTGAAAATAGCGCCTCTTTAAGTTAAACAAATATTAATAATAAGTTTCTAGAATCCAAGCGAAAATTAGTTATATGTGCAATATATTCAACTTGCATTTATTGTTGACAAAATATAAACACAGATAAGTTAAATCAAAGTTGTTTATAAAACCGGTATTTAAAAATAAACCGTGATCGATACGAAAACGGTTTATCGTCATTTTCTCTGTATTGACGCGACACCTTACTTTAAATCTCAGTGTCAATGTAGATATAGAAGAAAACTATTTTCAGAGATGCTTAATCGTATCCATCAGTTCAAAACTTTGGAAGTACAACGGTTTTTCTGTTTACGTAGCACTGTGACAGGACATTAAAACCGTAACGCCATACTCAACTTGTTGTTGCCCGTGTGACGTCATAGCTAGTTTTATTTCTGATAATTGTCAAGAAGGTTTCTGATGAGACTTTTTCCACAAAAGACCCCCTGAATAGATATTACTTTGTGAATAAAGTTTAACTGGTAAATCTTTTAAACTCGTGTTGAAAAACTGTGTTTGTTTTATAGAAGCCTGCTTCTATGGAGTGTACATTTTTCAAAAGAAAGAAGCTTTCAAACGAAGTATAAATCGCAAAGTTCACTGTACCAATGGCAACGTTTATAATCACAAGGAGAAAATGGTTGGGTTTGATGATAAAAAAAATGGTGGGTCATTGGTAAGCTTGTAAGCGTATAACGTTTAAAATCGGGGCTTAATACCCGCTTTCGGCACTGCGTAGATAGCCCCTTGTGTAGTGCTCCCCTGCGGCTCAGTGGTAAGCTTTCGAGCCTATGACGATAAAACCAGGGTTCGATACCCGCTGTGGGCACAGTGTAGTGCGTCTAACAACAAACAAAGAACAGATATAACATCATGCTTAATTTTACCAGATTTAGGCTAAAGTGTATGTGCGAAAGGGGCGAGTGATAATTTATGTGTTTTTGAGCGTGCAGCGTGTATGTCCTTTCTACGTTCACATAGTTTAAAAGTAATGTTGCGTCAGCGAGGTCACGTGACTATTGTCACGCCATTTTTCTAGAACTATCTTGTTCCTTCGTGAATGCCTTAGCATTTACTATATATATGTTTGTCTGGTATATATATAAGACGCTCACAACGTGACAACAATGTGTGTGTGTAGACAGTGAG